TTGCTAGTGGCAAGTTTGTACCTGTTAGCCATCGTATGAAAAACATCCTCATTGACTTGAATGGGAATAAGTTCCACGAGGAATTATTGCCTATCGAGTTAAATGGTTTCGACATAGTTTTAGGAATGGATTGGCTTAGTGCCAATGATGCCGAAATATTGTGTAGGAAGAAGATAGTAAAAGTAAACCCGCCAGGGAGACAGTCGTTTATGGTGTATGGAGACAAACGCAGAGTAAACTCTGGAATCATTTCCCTAATGAAAGCCAAAAAGTGTTTGGCCAAGGGATGTACATCATATCTAGCGTTCGTGATCGATGCTAAGAAGGAAAAGAAGGAGGTGCAGAATATTCCGGTGGTGTGTGATTATCCGGAAGTCTTTCCCGAAGATCTTCCCGGATTGCCCCCTGATCGACAAGTAGAATTTCGTATCGACTTGTTACCAGGAACGACGCCGATAGCAAAAGCACCGTATCGATTAGCACCAACAGAGATGAAAGAACTTATGACACAACTTCAGGAGTTATTGGACAAAGGTTTCATTCGACCTAGTTCATCACCCTGGCGAGCCCCGGTGTTATTTGTAAAGAAGAAAGACGGGAGCATGAGAATGTGCATCGATTCCAGAAAGCTGAATAAAGCGACAATAAAGAACAAGTACCCGTTGCCGAGGATCGATGACTTGTCCGATCAGTTGCAAGGTTCGAGCTATTTCTCGAAGATCGATCTTAGGTCAGGATACCATCAACTAAAGGTGGGAGAGCAGGATATCGAAAAGACTGCGTTCAGAACAAGATATGGACACTATGAATTTTTGGTTATGTCGTTCGGACTAACCAATGCCCCAGCAGCTTTCATGGATTTGATGAACAGGGTTTGTAAACCATACCTTGATAAATCCGTGATAGTATTCATAGACGATATCTTGATTTATTCGAAAAGCAAGCAGGAGCATGAAAAGCATCTGCGTGAGGTGCTAGAAGTTCTGAAAAAGGAGAAGTTGTATGCAAAGTTCTCCAAATGTGAATTTTGGATTCAAGAAGTCCAATTTTTAGGTCATGTGGTTAACCAAGAAGGAATAATGGTTGACCCAGCAAAGATTGAAGCTGTAATGAAGTGGGAACAACCAAAAATTCCTACGGAGATTCGAAGCTTTTTAGGATTAGCCGGATATTATCGCCGATTTATCCAAGGCTTTTCTTCGATTGCTACTCCATTAACAGCTTTGACCCACAAAGGAGCTACTTATACTTGGAATGGGAAGCATAAGGAAGCCTTTGAGAAGTTGAAGAAGAGATTGTGTGAAGCACCGATTCTTTCGTTACCTGAAGGGGTTGATGACTTCGCAGTTTATATTGATGCCTCTGGAGTTGGGTTAGGTTGTGTTCTGACCCAAAGGGATAAAGTGATAGCGTATGCATCGAGGCAATTGAAAGAGCATGAAAAGAACTACCCCACTCATGATCTGGAGTTGGCAGCGGTAGTATTCGCCTTAAAGATATGGAGGCACTATCTTTATGGTACTAAATGCAAACTTTTCACTGATCATAAGAGTCTTCAATATCTCTTTAATCAGAAGGAATTGAACATGAGGCAACGGCGCTGGCTGGAGTTACTCAAGGACTACGACTGTGAGATACTTTACCACCCTGGTAAAGCAAATGTTGTTGCTAATGCTCTCAGTCGGAAGGTGAATCTTGAAAAGAAAAGGCCAAGAGCGTTGAGGATTGAAGTTGTCTCGACAATTATGGAAAGTATAAAGAAAGCTCAGGAGGAAGCTTTAGAGAAAAATGACCGGAAGGAGGAACGTTTGGGTAAAACGTTGGTGTTTGATACAAACGGTCAAGGGCTGAAGGTATTCAAAGATAGGATTTGGGTACCTAAGACGGGAGGAGTAAGAGATCTTCTGATGGAAGTAGCTCACAAAACCATGTACTCGATTCATCCTGGCAGTACAAAAATGTATAGGGATCTAAAACCCTATTACTGGTGGCCGATGATGAAGCTTGATGGTGCTAAATATGTGGCCGAGTGTGTAACTTGTGCTAGGGTTAAGGCACAACATCAGAAACCGTATGGGAGTTTAGAACCTTTACATGTACCCATGGGTAAATGGTAAGACATCACCATGGACTTTGTGACTAAATTGCCCAGAACAAGGAACGGTCACGACATGATTTGGGTGGTCGTTGATCGCTTCACTAAGAGTGCGCATTTCATAGCCGCTAACGAGAAATGGTCTATGGATAAACTTGCGAATTCTTACGTGAAGGAAATTGTGAGGCTTCACGGTGTTCCGTTAACGATTGTATCCGATCGTGACAGCTGTTTTACCTCAAGGTTTTGGAGAAGTCTACAAGAGGAATTTGGTACCAAGTTGTGTTTGAGTACAGCTTACCATCCTCAAACCGATGGTCAAAGAGAACGAACGATTCAAACATTTGAGGATATGCTGAGAGCATGTACCCTAGAATTCCAAGGTAACTGGGATGAACACTTACCTCTAGTAGAATTTTCCTATAATAATAGTTTCCACTCAAGCATCAAGATGACACCTTATCACGCTTTGTATGGAGAAAAGTGTCGAACGCCGTCATGTTGGCTGGAGGCTGGGGAAAAGCAGTTTATGGGACCTGAAATAGTCCATCAAACTGCTGAAAAGTTGAAAGTAATTAGGGAAAGGATGTTAGCAGCTCAAAATCGACAAAAGAGTTATGCTGACAAGAAAAGACAACCGATATCCTTCGAAGTTGGAGATTCGGTTGTACTTAAAGTCTCGCCGTAGAAGGGACTTATAAGATTTGGTAAAAGGGGAAAGTTGAGTCCAAGGTTTATTGGACCATTTAAAGTTCTTCAGAGGATCGGGAATCAAGCTTACAAGCTAGAATTACCGAAAGAACTGGAGGGTATTCATAACACCTTTCATGTGTGTTATTTGAGAAAGTTCACGGGAGATGTGCCCGACATAATTCCGATTTGTGAGTTAAGGTTGGATGAAAACAAGAGGTTGATTGAAGAACCTGAGGCAATCGTTGACCGTAAGACTAAAAAGTTGTGACGCAAGATGGTCGATTTAGTGCTGGTGCGATGGAAACATACGAATGGGCCAAATCTCACCTGGGAAACGGAGAGTGACATGATGAGTCGCTACCCGCATTTGTTTGCTGATGTGTGATTCCGGGGACGGAATCATCCTAAGGGGGAGAGAATTGTAACGCCCGTGTTTCTAGGCTAGGCATTAATATTGACGTTATAGTCTAGGTTAACCTTTGTAACTCATTTTGAAGAAATGAAAAGGAATTATGTGAATATTATGTGAATTATGTGTTTTATGCTTAATTATTAGGGTTTAATTAATTAAGAATAAAAATGAGCGTCAAAAATAAATATTAGATAAAGCCTATATCTATTAAGAAAGTTGTAGTGGTCGTGACAAGGATTACGGATATATAAAGAATACCAAAATCCGAGTTATAACGAAGAAGTTATGACCTGTCGAAGTTTCGCGACAAAACCGGCACGGTGCCGAATGTCGTAAAAAGTGAGTTTTTGATAAACTACTTTTTAGCCTTAGTGATCTAAACAAAAGTCGTAATGTTCGTTAAACCGAGAGTAGGTATAAAAAAGAACGCCCAAATCTGACTTCGTATGACGAAGTTATGATTTTTCGAAGTTTCAGCTTAGCAGTAGACAACTAAAAACTCGAATTTTAGATCGAGTGCTTTTTAGCCGACACGACCTAAACGATAATCGAAGGTCTCGTCAATAGTAGCACAACGGTAAAAAGACAGACGAAAACGGACGTCGGATGAAGAAGTTATGAATTTTTAACGGATTTCCTGTCCCGGTCTGTTAAAAATAATAATATAAAAATTAAAGTTAAAATTAGCCAACGAAGTCTAAAATGAAAGTTGTAGAGCGTAATTTTACCTACGCGTGCATATAAAGAACGTCAAAAACGGAGCTTGTATGCGAAAGTTATGGATTTTAGAAGTTTTGGCGCGAAAATCGAGAAAAAAATGTCAAAACCGAGAAAATTCGCATACGTGGACTTCGGCCACCTCACCCTCGCCCAAAACGTGCCACGTGTCCGAACTGCTGAGTCATCTGAGGCCACCTGTCGACACGTGTCGCATTCTCTTCGGACCGAAGGCTCGGCCAATCAGAAGCTGCCTTGTACTCCTTTATCGCGTGTCTGATCCTCGCATGGAGTGCCACGTCTGAAGTCTCGGACCTAGACCCCGGTCCAATCAGAGGCCGACAGCGAGACCCTCGCATGCGCAACCCACTCAGCTTTGTATGTTACAGGTAGTGGACCCCGAGCATAGTCGGAGGATGATGAGAGATTTTTGGATTATAGGCCAGTAGTTGTAAATAACTGTTGAAAGGCTGATAATGTCTTGTTTATGCTTTTGATCTGTATCGGAACATGACATCCCAAGGTTTTGATATGAAATGAAATTATATATTTCTTAAAGAAAGGTTTTGATAAACTCTTATCATGTTTTGTTTTGGGGACCAATTCCGCAACATCTTTTAAAAATATTTCTCTGATTTTAATTTAAAAAGCATAAATTAAATCGGTCTTTTTTGGCCGAGAAATTAGGGGATGTCACAATTATCTGGTTAGCCTTTAAAGGTGTTATAAGGTAATAACTGATATGTGGAATAATACTTGTAGATTAATATATTTGATGTGATGTATATTTGTTGGACTTATGTTTATTGTAATATCTGATGATATGTGTTGTATTGTTATTGTAGTAGTTATTCACTAATTTCTATGGCTTACGCTGTTTAGTTGTTGTTGTTTTGCAGGTTAGTTAATTGTAGCTCCCGGCTCGGATCTTGTACTTGATGCCAATACGATTCCTGGTGATAACTTCTTGGACTCTAGTCTGCTAGTGTACATCAGAATGTTTTATAAAGTTGTAATTAAATTGATTTTTGGAGTTTACCTAGTATGAAAATTTTGGGCGTTACAGTTTGTCTGTTCTACGTCTTATCTTGATGAAACAACGGGAGAAGGTATAGATATAGATGTTGAAGTTGAGGCATCAGTGAGAATAAGGTTAAGATTTTGAACCTTATTTATCATTACATTTAGGGTCAAGTTCAACTCTTGAGAATGGATTCCGTGATGTCCCTTAACGATGTTAGCGATTTCAAGCCATTCGTTGTATCCATACTTAACTAAATCAGGACACAATACCTTTTTTAGGTATTCACACTTGTCATCCTTTCTAGTGAGGTGCACAGTGAGAATATTTTGACTCTTAGGCTTGGTGCACCTTACTTTTACTATTGAGTCTTTAAAAAACCTCCTTGCAAACACACCAACATATTTTGAGACGTTTATCTTGGATTTAACATCATCCAACTTTTTCTTCTTTTCAACCAGTGCATTGAACTGAAACATGGCCTTTATCTGCTCATCAAGATTTCCCTCAGCACAGAACAACTTTTTAAAAACCTTGTCATCATGCATATGAATATTTTTTATTAGTCATGACAAGGTTGTGTTCGACACAAAAAACTCTTACTTGATCTTTATACATCTGTCTCTCAACAAAATTTTCTTTGATTAAAGAGACCATTCGAATACGCTTAACTACACTGCTATTTTTCTTGATATTAAGGAGGAGATGGGCTTAAGATCCCCAGATGATTCAGAGCTTGATTCTGAAATGTGCTTCCCCTCACGTTGTGGCTCCCCCGCTGAGCAGATGACTCCCCCTGACGCTGAGAACACTCTTCATGATGACTAGTACTTGGGAAAACAGTAAAAATGGCCTCTACATGAATGGAGTCCCCTAGATAAGAAAATTCAAAGATCCCTTCCGCAGTGTTATTGTTGTCATCATCATCAATCTCTTTATCTTTATTTTCAAAGTTTTTAACAACTTCAGTCTATTCAAAACAAGATTTTTGCTAAATAAATGTTGAATTCTCCCCCTTTTTGGCATCATCAGAAGGACTAATGCTTGTGGTGGTAGGAAGTTGTTGTGAAGAGGGAGGAGGTGGTGGTGTATTTGATGTAGTTGGAGGAGGAATATATGTTGGTGGAGGTGGTGGAGTGGAGAAGGATAATTTGGAGGAGCAGGTTAGAAGAAGGTTAGAGTATTTGAAGGTAACATAACTTATTTTATGTTAGCAACATCATCCTCAAGACATTCCATTCGATTAACAAAAGTCTGGGTTAACCTAATCAGGGTGTTGTGAGTATTTGAGCATTAAGATTTGGAGAGGCAACAGATGAAGTAGGATTAGGTTGAGCGGGAGGTGGGTAATTATGAAAATAAGGTGTATCTTGTTTAGGGGAATCAACATTAATATTTATACCTTCATCTTGTTCGGAATCATGGGATGGAGGATTACCTTGTGCACCATGGGAGGATGATGAAGACTTGTAGTATATGTGTTTGTTAAGACGTGGTATAGACACTTGTGATGCAGCTCGAAAAGGATGTGTTGTAAGAATAAGAGAGTTAGATGAGGGTAAAGATTCAGTAGCATACCCACCAACATCAATGTCAGAGTCTTCATAATTGTTGTCTCCATGAGTTTCTTCTTCTTCTTCTTCTTCTTCTTCTGCGTCTTCATAATTGTTGTCTCCATGAGCCTTTTCTTCTTTTTCTTCTTATTTTATAACTGTTGTCTCCATGAGCCTTTTCTTTTTCTTTTTCTTATTCTTATTCTTATTCTTCTGCGTTCTCACTGCTATTTGTAGTATCATCATCTTCATCCCCACTTTCAATCCCAATAATTTCTTCATCCGACTTTCCATTGACAGTTCGGTCCACAATTGGATTATAAACTCTTATGTCACACCCCAAAACCAGAACGGCGGAAACGTTCGGGGGTGGAGGACGTCATGTTCAGTATCACAACAATGCAAAGTAGTAAACAAGCAACAACATCATCCATTGCATTAATAATATAATTTCATACAAGTGTGTTCTGTCAAGTTATATAGACACCAAAAATATACATCAAAAATAAAAGATGAGTCTTGAACGAGCTCCATCTTCTCAAAACCTGGCACCGGTACCTGTCTACTGGTGACCTGAGAATACAAGTTATTTTGAAAGAGTTTATCAGCTTTAAAGTTGGTGAGATCATAAGTATATTAGTGTCTGTATTTGTATGAAAGTGTTTGTAAGTCTGTAATGTATAAGTTTTGTAAAAGTTTGTAATTGTTTGAACTCTCCAAGAAAACCCTATGTTTCCTACTAAAAGTAGCCTTCTACCAAGGCATCTAGTATCTGTGTGTGTGTCTCTTGTAAGAGTGTGTATTTTCCCAAATCTGACTATCATTAACCAAAAATATAGTTTTTACATTATTGTTTATTGTGTGAATATCACAAAGTAAATGTAAAGGGAAAATGAAATAGTATTGTAGTGTTGTATTAAGTAACTACTGCTGTACTAATTACTTTAAACCAATTGTTATTTTAAAGTACCATGTGATTGGCATGTATCCTGCTACCGACTCTATAGAAAAACGACGATGTAAGACGTTGTAAGAAATGACGTTTGGCACCCGTAGACTTGCAAGTCCCACTGTAGCGAGCAACAAGGTGTAGGATAGTCAATCCAGTATAGATCTATACACAAACTCATACGCTCCCCATTTAAGGAGATTCTGGATACAAAACGGGTCATGACAGGTAGTGACATGCCCCCGTTAAGTGGCTCACATAACTGTAACTAATGTATATGTATATGTATATGTATGTGCTAGCTGTATTGTGTGTTCTTTCTCTGTCTAGCCTGTATGTTTTGTTTCTCATCACTGTGTATTATGTTTGTTTCTCATCACTATGTATTATGTTTGTTTCTCATCACTATGTATTATGTTTGTTTCTCATCACTATGTATTACTCATGAATGAACTGACTCATTGTATGTTTCATTGTTCTAGTAATAGTATCTTCCTAAACTATACCTATTATAGTTTACTAGTAATGTTGTTTGTGTATATGAACATGTTTGTATACCTTTGCTACCCAAAGGAATTGAACTGAATGAAAGAAGTAACCTTTTATATCTATACACATATACATGATATATAACTAGGATTCAAACGACCTTCGGACAAATAACCCGAATACCCTAAGTCCACAACCAAACAAAGAACAGGAAGTAAGGTGAGCTATCAGTCCTAAGTCCTTTCAATCCTACTTATATAATTATATCCATATAGATACACAAAATATAAGTTAAAAGAGTTTAATAAAAGTATTTGATATGTAAAAGAGTTTGTAAAACAGTTTGAAGTAAAACAGTTTGATAACACAGTTTGAAAAGTAAGAAATCCACTTGTTTGGTAGTTATTAATCACATGTGATTGATATAATAACTATAATAGTTCAACTTGTATTCCCTCCCCCCCCCATAAAAGCATTTAAAAACATTTAAAAGGTTAATTAAGGGGTATGAACTCACCTGTAGTGAGTGGTTTGGATGAACGGAATGTATAGGATGCTAGGTGTCAAGTGAGGACTTGTACACACACGATGATCCTAGTTAACATATAATATCACATATATGTATCCAATTAGTCTTTAAACAACTAAATAACAAATTTAAGACATCCTAGGACATGTAAAACACCTTATTTAAGTGTTATAAGTCCTAAGGATTGCATCTAAGTGTTGTATGGCATTGCTATTGAGTTTAGGGTTCAAGGGAACCCTTTATTTGAGTTTACGGTTTTGTGACCATAACTCATTGAGTTTACGGTCATAAACCCATGAGTTTACGGCCGTAAACTCATGTTTCTTTGACCAACTTGTGTTTTGAAGCCTTAAAGATCACAAGAAGCATTCCTACTTCATGTTTAAGCCTTAGGAAGAGATTAGGGCACCATTTCACTCCTTTTAGGAGTTTACGGTCCTTGGACCATTTCCCTTTGGTTTTACGGCCGTAAACCCAAATGGTTTATGGTCTTTTGATGTTTTCAAGTACTAAGAACATCAAGGAAGGGATCTAGGCTAGTTTCCAAGGCTTAGAAGGGACTAGGGCACACTTTGGCACCCTTTGTGGGGTTTACGGTCCAAGAACATCTTGGACCGTAAACACCTTTGATCCTTGGTTTCTTGGGTGTTTTCTTGATGTTTAGAAGTGTAACAAGCTCTATAATACTCTAGGATAGAAGTACTTACTAGGTAGAAGCTTGAAAAGGTGCTAAAAGTCCAAGAACACTAGTGTGTGTTCTTGGTGTTCTTGGTGAAACTTGAAGATCTACACTTTTGGAATGATTTCACGGATGGAATCATGTTAGATCACTAGATTAAGTAAGATATCAACTTTTTAGGGCTAGAAACACTTACAATGTTGAATATCAAGAATAAAAGTCGATGATACTTGAGAGAGAATTGAGTTTTGGATCTTGAAATTGTGAAAAGTGATAAATAATGACTAAGTGTCATATTTATACCCTCTTTTAGGGTTTACAGCCGTAAACACCTTTGTTTAGGCCGTAAACTCCAAAATCTTGGAGTTTTGGGACATTATTGTTGCACAATAAACCCTAGGGCATCCTCTCTCCTGTTATCTCCTGGAGTACTAATTTTAAAATACTCAAACTTATTCCAAAAAGCTTGAAAATTAGCAGAAACAATTTTGACTCCTATTGAAGTGAATGGTTGTACAGAATAGAAATTTCGGGTTGTCACATCTTAGCTCAGCATTGTATGGCTGATCGATCCAATTAGTCATTCACTGAGTAATATGTTGATGTCTTGGACTAGGGGCAACGTTGATAATCTTTGAAGACAACACAGGGACATGAATTTAAATCGAACTTTTGTGGGGGTGCCCTAAGTTGATGAATTCAAGAAGTAGTCTAATCAATCTTGGATGGGTTACATAAGTGGGATGTTTCTTGTTAGTGATCAGCGAGACGAACAGATCAAATATTAATCTAGCAAAATCAACATGCTTGTTTTTGATAATAGCTTAAAGAATCTGTTGTTCGAACAAATTCAGTTGATCAAGGCTTTCACCTTTATGCCCTAAGCATTTTTTGATGACCCCTGTTAGAAATTTGCAGTCGGGAGGAATACATTGGCAAAGAACATATGCATTACCATCCCTTAAACCCTAAAGGGTAAGATCATACCCTAACCTTACAAGCACATATTTGCATTTTTCTTTTGTGGGAAGAGGAGAAAAAGAAGCATAATTTGGAAGGCGAAGAGCGTCCCAAACAGTTTCAATAATGAGTAAAATTTTATGGTTGTTGTTTACAATTATACCATTAACAAAATCAAATCTTTAGTCGTAAGAACAGCATTAGTAGAACTCACATACATGATCTGCATAGAGAATAGTTGGGGAGACGGAGAAAGCTTATATGAGAGGATGCGGTTCCAGAAATCAGATGAAGACTTCAAGCAGCTTGTTCTTGAATTTTGAAGGGATAACATACGACCCACAGACATTGGTTGCCTTGATCACAATTGAAGTGTTTGGGGTATTTGA